TTGTTATTAATTTATATTAATTCTTCAAATTTTTATAACATTTCCACATTATTAATTTCTTCGTTTTAGCTTTTTATTAAAATATCACTAATAAATAATTAGAATTAGCTAATTTAATCAGAATTTAATTATTAATGACTATTCAATGTATCAAAAATATTCAAGTTATCTTAAAATGAATTTGAATCTTGTTTTTATAAAATAATATTATTTTATGAATTTAAAAGATTTTCTTATTCATTTTATTTTCCGAAATTATTTTAAATTTAATTTTACTCAATATTTATTTATTTGCATTTATTTTCTTAAGTTTCAATAGTATTTTAGTTTAATTATTCAATAGATTTGTAGATTTCATTGATTGAAAATGTTAAATATTCCTCTTATTTATACTATCTTAAGTTTTAATTTTCTTTACTTACACTATTTAATGATTATTAATTATTTTAATAATCCAATTAATCTTATTTATTATTATTGTTATCATTGTTTTTTTAATTATTAAAATACTACTTATTTCCATTTTATTATTAATTTTCTAAATCTTAATTATATTTTTCATTAGATCTTATTTATTTAAATTTATTTTTTTACTTTTCTACTTAAAAATTATTTTATTAAGATTCATGATGAATAGTTTTTGATTTTTTAATCAAGTTAAAACTTCTTTATTTTTTTTCATTTGAATTTCGCCTATTAAAATATGAGCTCTCTAAAGATTTACTAATTTTATTTTTTTTGAAATTTTTTTCATAAATACTATATTTGTTAAACTATTCTTTTATATGATTGCTATATTTTTATTATTATTAGATATTTGAATTTATGTTTTAGTTTTCTTTTATTTCTTGATTATTATCATCACTAAAATACTAATATTCTTAATTAAATTCTTCATTAGATTATTTGTTCGCATTTTAAAATTAATCATATTATATTTTTTATATATTTTTTGTTATTTAATCATTTAATTATGTTTAATAAATCAAATTAATAGATTATAGTTTACCAAATATTTATTTTTTTTATTTTTTTATATTTTCTTATTATTAATTTATTTATATATCTTATTATTAATTTAAGGTTTCTTTTATTTCTTATTATTATTATAGATATTCATTTTATTAAATATTTTCTTATTATTTTTATAATTCTTTTACTTATTTTTATTATTAATAAATTTCTTAATCTTAATTAAAATTATATTCATTCTCCTTTTTTTTTTATATGAAATTCATTTAAATTAATTATTCTTATTTTTGAATTTAAGCTATGTTTTATATATCACTTGAATTTAAATCTGAGTTTTCTTATTATTCAATTTATATTAATTAATTTCCTGAATTTTATATTTATTTATTTTCTTCATCAAAAGATAATTAGTTTTATAATTCAATATTTATATTTTATTAATTTTATATTTCATTTATATTTTGTTTATTATCTTCTATTTAATTATTAGTTATTTAATTAATTAAGTTATTATTTTTATTATTACTCTCTTCATTGTTTTTTAATTTTTTTAATTAATTTAATTATTACTTAAAACTTGCTAAAAGCAATTAATATTTTTTCTTTTTATTATATTATTTTATTATCTTCTTTTTTAATTTATTTTTAATTTTCTTCAGTTTCAGAACTTGAGGTAAATTGTTATTATTATTATAAATCATTTAATTTCTAAACTTAATATTTTTTTGCAAAATGTTATCTTTTTATTGGCTTACTTTATCATTTTAGTCTTCTATTTATTCAATAGAGCTTTTTTATTAAATATCGTCAATTTCATTCTAAATACTATAATTCTCTTCTATTAGACTATATTCTTAATTAAATAAATTAATTTATTATTAATTATTTTCCAATTTATAAATTTAATTTTATTGCATTTATTCTTAGTTTTAAAAATTTTATTAATTCAAGTTTTCATCAAAAGATTTAATTTCTATAAATAAATTATCATTGGATTTATTTTTATCACTGATATTTTCTTATTTTTCAGATTACAAATCTTCTTCTTTTTAATTTATAGAAATTCTTCCAGTCTCTTCTTAAATACGTAAATTTTCTAATTACTCATAATCTGGATTTAATATTAATTATTATTAATTTTAAATTACTAATCTTTAATCTTATTATATAATATATTAATTATTATCTTTATTTAACAATTAATTTTTTATTTTTTATTAATTATCTTATTTATTTTATACAATATTGCTTTGTTCATTTTCTTACTTTTTATTAATAGATGAATTAATATCCTAAATTTATACATTTAATTCTTCACTATTATTGATTAATTAGTTTATATTATTATTATTTTCATTAATATTATTGTTCGGCTCATTATTTTATTTGATTTATGTTAATTATTATTAATTTTATATTTCATTTTTAGAGTCTATTTAATTTTTTTCATTTAATTATTATGTTTTTATGATTTCTTTCATTATAATATTATTATTTTCAAAATTTTACATTTCTTTTTCTTTATTTTTAAACTAAGTTATATCTTTTTCAAACAATGTAATATTTTAATCAATTTATTTTTAAAACTAATTATCAGAATTTTAAATTTACTAAGATTAAATTTACATATTTTCTTAAAAATTATTATTATTTTATTCATTTACTTCCTATAATTGCTCTTGATAAATTTAATGTTGACTATTATTCATAAAATCAGCAAGAGGTATTTTTTAATTAAATTATTATTAATTTTCTTCGACTTAATTTCTAGTCAAATTTGTTTAGATTTATTTTTATGATATTTAATTTTCTAATTGATTTTATTACTAATTTTAATCTTCAGTTTTTTATTAACTTTTGTCTATTATATTGTTTAATATATTTTGTTTTTCTTAAGAGTTTTCTTAATTTTATTATTTTTAATTTAAAGCTTATATTTCATTTACTTAATCATTCATTTTTAAGCTTTTATTTTATTATTACTCATTTTATTCATTTATATTATTTTCACTTTAATTTAATTTATTATTTACATTTTTATTTTCCTATGATTTAATACTCATATATTTTTTTACTAATTCATTAACCTCATCTTTAACTTAAAAAACCTAACTCACTTATTATGTTTTTTAATCTTAATATTTTTATGAAATTAAGCTTTTTTTTCTTCACTCTATTTTTATAAATCCAAATTATTATTTTTAATTTCTTTACATTCGTCTTCTTTTTCTTAAATATCAATTTATTAATCATGTCCTTAAATATTATTTTAATTAGTAGTTATTATGTTTTAAGCCTTTTCAAAACTTTTATTTTAATCTTTTATGTTTTATTAATATTTTTCTTCATTTAATTAAACTTAAGTGTCCACATTTTATTCTTATATTATTTCTTGATTATTTTAGTTTTCGTCTATTAATAACATTTAACCTTAAGACATCTAAAAATTGCCTTCTTTTTAATTTTCTTCCAAATTTTTAGAAGCATTTTCATTAAATAATTAACTTTTCTATAATTACAAATTATTTAGTAAAATGTTTGCTTAATTTTAATTTGTTTCTTATTATAATAATTATAATTTTGAATCTTTATTTGATATTTCTAAAGGTTAATTGCTATAATTATGATTGTTGTTTATATTAAAACTTTATTCTTATTAATTATCCTAAATTTTCGTTATCTAATCTTATTCAATCTATCTTTAATTATTTTAAATAGTTTATTATGTATCGATATAGATTTAATCTTTAATGCTTTATTTGTCATTATATTAATGTTAAATAAATACCTGCTATTAATCACTTTTTTATTAATTTTAAAAGTTTTCTTATTCACTCTTATTTTTTTCTTAGGCTTCTTTTTGAATAATTAAATTACTTTAGAATACTTGATTACCATAATTTTATTATTAACCTAATTATAATTATTTTTAATTAAGGATTTATTATTAATTTATCTTTTAATTATAATATTCTAATTATATAGTGCTTTATTATTCATTTTAGACATTTTGTTAATTGAAATTTTCTTAATCTTCAGCTTAAAAGATTTATATTTTTGATAAAGATGCTTATTGGATTTATTTTTATTCTTCTTATTGCATTTCTTCATAATCAAACTATTTTTATTATTCTTAATTCCTTATATTTAATTATTCTTTATTATCTTGTAATTATTAAATTTAGTCATTATTATTTGATTATTCAAGTTTATTTTTCTCAATATTTTCTGTTTATTATCTATTGTTTAATTATTATTAAACTAATTAATCAATATTTTTTTCTTAATATTATTCTTTCTATTATTTTTTTTATTATTTAATTGTTTCTTTATTATCTTCCTCTTATTCTTACATATAAATTATTTAATCATTTTATTTCTAATTATTTTATTGTTCATATTATTATTTATAAATTTATTCTACTTAAAATTACTATTATTCAATCACATTTTATGATTATTTATCTTCCCCTTATTCATTATTTTTATTTTATAATAAATTAACTTAATCGTTTTTTTTCATTAAATTGGAATATTCATTAATTGATAATTAAATATGTTAATTTTCTTTTTAATTATTAACTTAATCATCTATCTAGTGATATTTTTATAAATCATTTGATTCTTCAGAACATTCTTAAGATTTTAAATTATTAGGAATTTATTTTTCTTAAACTACTTATTAATTTATTTAAGTTTACTAAGAAGAGTTATTTTACTAATTTTAAGTAAAAGTTTGGTATATATTTTAACTGTTATTATTATTAATTTCATTTTAAGATTATAATTAATTTACTTATTTGTCTATTTATTAAAAAAACAAACTATTGATTTGATCGTCTTTTAATTCATTATCAAAATGTGTTTAATTTTCATCAAAAATTTAATTCTAATATTATAAAAGGTTTTAGTTTTAATTTTTATTATCTTATTAATTTAATACGTTAAGTTAATCATTTTAAAATGATTTATTTTATTAATTTTAAATATTTTATTTTTCATAATTAATCATTTAAATTTAATATGTTTCATTTTAATTTTAATTTTAATTTTTATTTTATTCTTATTCTTATTCTTATTTTTATTCTTATTCTTATTCTTATTCTTATTCTTATTCTTATTTTTATTCTTATTCTTATTCTTATTCTTATTCTTATTCTTATTTTTATTCTTATTCTTATTCTTCTTCTTAATCTTATTCTTATTCTTATTCTTATTCTTATTCTTATTCTTAATCTTATTCTTATTCTTATTCTTATTCTTATTCTTATTCTTATTCTTATTCTTATTCTTATTCTTATTCTTATTCTTATTCTTATTCTTATTCTTATTCTAATTCTAATTCTTATTCTTATTCTTATTCTTATTCTTATTCTTATTCTAATTCTAATTCTTATTCTTATTCTTATTCTTATTCTTATTCTTATTCTTATTCTTATTCTTATTCTTATTCTTATTCTTATTCTTAATCTTATTCTTATTCTTATTCTTATTCTTATTCTTATTCTTAATCTAGTTTTTGATTATTTTTTATTTTTATTAATTTTATAAAATTTATTTTTATTTATTTATATCTTTAATTTATCCTTAATTTTTATATGTTTATTATTTACTTTGATCAAGTACATTCTCTATTATTTAATTATTTTTTTAAACAATTTCATCTTAATTTTAACATATATAACTTTATGCCTATTTTAAATCCATTTAACATGTATTACAATTATTCTCTTTTTAAAAATTATTTTAATCTAAGCTCAATTAAATTTAATCTATATTGTCATTGTCACTATTTTCTTAAACTAAAACTTAATTTTAAACTTAACATATTTTCTAATTTTCTTATTGTATATTATTCTTACTAAATTAAACTTAAGAGGTTTAAATTTAGTCAATATTTGTTTATTGATTAATATTTTTAAAATTAGCATTTTTATAACCTTATTAATTTTACGACTATTATGTTTTATTTACTTAATTAATTATTTAGTTTTAATTTTATTATTCTTATTAATTAACTATTATATTATTATTAAACTATTGTTGGTTCTTTTATTCATTTTAAATATTAGAATTTCCTTATACAAAATCTACTTACTAATTATAATTATTAGAATTATTTTAGTATTCATGGTCAATATTTCTTTATTGTAATTAATTTTTTTGCATTTCATCTATTTAAACCAATTAAAATATGTTTTAATCTGCAGTTTATTATTAATTTTATGAACTAAATTGTAAATTATTATCCTATTTTTATTATTATTTTATTATGTTTATTTTTTAAAATTCTTTTTATTATTGTTATTATTTAGGAATTTATATTTCTTATTATAATTAATTTTTTATATTTTCTTATTCAATAAATTAATTATTTTCTTATTTTGCATTTAAAATTTAATTTTTTTGGCTTAAATTAAATTTATTATTTTCTAAATTTTCTTAACTAGTATTTATTTTTAATTAAAATTAATTTTATATGTCTATATATTCTTGTAAATTTTATAAATTTAGATCTTATTAAAGAAATTATTATTGCTTGTTTCTATAATTTTCAGTATTTTAATAATTTTAATCATCTTTATTATTATTTTAAATAAAATAATCATTCAATTTTTTTAATTCCTATTTATTATTTTCATTTTTAAATAAAATATATTCGCATTAATAATCTTATTAAAAATATATTTCTTCTTATTATTAAGACTAAATATATATTTATTATTATAATTATTATTATTATTATTATTATTATTATTATTATTATTATTATTATTATTATTTTTATTAAATTAAATTACTTATTCTTTATCTAATATATTTATTTCTTATTCTTATACTATCTTTTATTCTTATACTTATTCTTCTTTTAATTATTTTACTTATTTTTTGTCTTATTATTATATATTTTATTTTTTTTATTATAGATTTTTCTATTCTTTTTATTATACTTTTTATTCTTATTCTTATTCTTATTCTTATTCTTATTCTTATTCTTATTCTTATTCTTATTCTTATTCTTATTCTTATTCTTATTCTTATTCTTATTCTTATTCTTATTCTTATTCTTATTCTTATTCTTATTCTTATTCTTATTCT